TTAAATTATGCTAATGAATCATTAGTAATGACTAAACCTGAACCAGTAATGATCACTTTGCCCATTGTTAATGATTGAAATTAGTAATGGTCAATTTGTCCATTGTTAATCCATGCATTTGTGTTTTTGCAGAATTCTCTTTTCTGTTCAGGAATCAAATCAAGCAGCTAGTTCATAAATTGCATTCTGCTTAGGTAAGTCGTGACCCTAGCTTGTTGTTGGTTGTTCGTACCTAAACCTGAACCAGAAACACTAATTTTCCTGCTTTTGTGTTTTTGCAGATTTCTCATTTCTGTAATCTGTTCAGGAATCTCATCAAGCAGCTGGTGCTTAAACTACAGTCTGCTTAGGTAAGTCCTCGACCCTTGGTTGTTGTTGGTAGCTAAACCTAAACCTGTTAAATTGATAATGCTAAACCTAAACCTGTTTTAAATTGATAGTAAGTTCATTAGTGTTAGCAGCTAAACTGCTAATATGCTGAATGCTAATCTGTAATCTGAAAAAGGGTAATAGGTAATCTGCTAATCTATTGTAATGCTACTCGAATCAAGTAAACTTTTAATATGTAATCCTAAACTACTTGAATCAAGTAAACTTCTCAATACGTAATCTGCTAATCTGAATTGAATTATGAGAACACAACTGAACAGTGGACATCTTTCTAAAACATTTTTTTTTATTTCTTTCTCTTAAACAGATGGAACCCCAACACGTTGAGAATGCACCTGCTAATGATGTTGTTGCCCCTCCTCCTGGTAATCCTAATAATGTTGAGGAAGATGTTCTTCCTCAACATCCCTTAGGTGCTAGTAGGTCATTAAAATCAGATGTCTGGCCTCACTTCACTAGGATGATGGTTTCTGGGGTTTTGAAAGCTAAATGCAACTACTGTAAAAAGATCTTGGCTGGGAAATCTAGTAATGGTACTTCACATCTTAGGACTCATAGGAACAAATGTGTTCATAAGAAAATACACGATGGGAGTCAAAGAGTTATTGGTGCTAACTATAGTGCCAATGGGACAGCTGATATGAGTACCACTCAGTTTAGTAGTGAGGTGCCTAGAAAGGAGCTCTGCACCATGATCTTTGTGCATGAGTATCCTTTTTCTATTGTTGAGCACCTTTACTTCAAACAATTTTGTTGCACCTTAAACCCTATCTTCAAAGTCCCAGCCAGAAATACCATAAAAAAAGACATAGTCGCTATTTATGGGTTAGAGAGGTCTAAGTTTCAAAAGGTCATTGATGAAAACAAAGGGAGGATAGCTGTCACCACTGACATGTGGACTGCCACAAACCGAAAAAGAGCCTACATGGCTGTTATCGACCACTATATCGATAACTCTTGGAATATGAGAAGCCATCTTTTGATGTTTGGTTACCTCCCTGCCCCACACACTAGTGAGAGGTTGGCTGTAAAGCTAGCTCAATGCCTCCAATCATGGAATATTGATAGTAAATTGTCAACAGTAACACTTGACAATTGTACTACCAATGATTCAATGATCAACCTAGTTAAAAAAAGGCTAGTTTTGTCTAATCTAATTAGGGATGGATCACTTCTCCATATGAGGTGCTCTGCTCACATCCTTAATTTGATTGTGAGGGATGGTCTTGATGTTCTGAAAGATGGAATAGATCAAATAAGAGAAAGTGTGGTTTTCTGAACATGCACACCTAGGAGGGTAGAGTCTTTTCATGCTACTGCCCAACAACTTAAACTGGCTGTTTCTAAGAAATTGGTCTTAGATTGTCCCACTCGCTGGAATTCCACCTACGAGATGCTTTCTAGTGCTATCCCGTATAAGGATGTGTTTTCTTTATTGACAATAAGAGAACCTCATTATGACTATCTGCCTACTAATGAGCAGTGGGAATTTGCTGCTATTTTGGTAGAGAAACTTGATGTTTTCAAGGACATAACTATGATCTTTTCTGGTTCAAACTACCCAACAGCGAATCAGTTTTTTCCTAAAGTGTGTGACTTGAGGTTACGATTGTTGGAATGGTTAAGTGACCCTAATCTGATGATTGTCTCTATGGCTGAGAAAATGTGGACTAAGTTTGCCAAATATTGGGATGATATTCACTTGTTGTTGGTCGTTGCTGTTGTGTTGGATCCACGTTATAAGTTGGAAATTGTTGGGTACTATGCTGGTAAATTTGGTATTACTAGTACCGATCTTGTTTCTGAAAGGGTCAGATCTGTGCTTGCTGACTTGGTTGTTGAATACCAAAGGAAATCATCCAAAAACTCGGTTGTTCCTTCTAGTTTGAATGCTTATTCTTCGGCCACTGATCTGGATTTTGATCTATATGTGAGCCAAAGAAAGAAAACTAGAACAACTGTGGTTACTACCGAGTTAGATCACTATCTAGCTGAGTATGTTTATCCTAGACCACCGGACTTCGATTTGTTGGGTTGGTGGAAATTCAATGGTGCCAAGTATCCCATTTTGCAAGAAATTGCAAGGGATTTACTTGTTGTACCTATTACGAGTGTTGCATCTGAATCTGCATTTAGTTCTGGTGGGAGACTGCTTGATCCCCATCGGAGCAAACTTGATCCTATGACAGTGGAAGCCATGATGATGCTAAGGACTTGGATTCAGGACGATAACAAAGGTATTCTGCTTGTTTAATTCCTGCCATGGTTTAAATTTCTTTGATTCTTTACAAGTCAACTAATTCTTCCATTCTTTTGTAGTGACTGCCTCGGACGTGAAAGCGCTGGAGGGGGTGTTCTCGGCTATGGCAATGGATGATGCCACGGTGGAAGAGAGCATAGGTAAGTCCTTGTATGGCTGTGATTGGTTTACTAACTTAGGTTTCTGTTCTTTACTAAATACATTGCTTTGTAACAGATGGAGCTGGAACTCAGGGGGAGCAGAGAGGAGATGAAGATGATGTTGCTGCTGAGGTCAACCTGCTGGACTAGCTCATGGTTGGTGTTTTAACTTTTGAGCTCTAAGTTTCCTATGCATCAGAATCAAGTGTTGAATGTTTAATGAAACTGTCATATTGCAGATTTTGTCCATGCTGGGTTGCTGGGTTGCTGCTGGGTTGATGTTGGGTTGCTGCTGGGCTGATATGGGTTGCTGGATGTTTTGGCGACTTGAAGAATGATTGTTGCTGGCTTGCTGGTTGCTGCAGTGCTGCTAGTGCTTATTTATTTTTGGCTTTTTGATTGTGTTTGAACTATCATGGTTCTGGGTTTGATTATTAGCTGAGAATTGCAGATATTGTTGATTTGTTGGTGGGAGTTTCAGAATTCAGACTTTAAGACTTTAGTTCTTAGTTTTCACAAGTTCTGTTCTGTGGTATTTTAAGGTTAGAATCCTTGATTTCCAGACAGGTTTTGGGGTTTGCAATTCGTGAATAATGCTGGAATAGTGGAATGCATTATGTTTTTGTTTTTCCTTCATCTTTGAGTTCATTTAGTATCTACAGGTTTAGGTTAGTTGATGATTTTTATTAGGTGTTGGCGGGCAGGCCCTTACCCGCGGGCTAACCGATGTCCGACTGGGTTTGGGCTTGGTCTACATTTTATGCCTGTTTAGCTTAGTGGGCCGGGCACGGGTACAACCCGCGGGCAGGAATGGCGGGCAACGGATATAGGGTATCTGCACCGTATCCGACCCATTGCCATCCCTAATCTCTTTAATGGTGTTACTTAACACTTTGACTAGAATGACGGAAATGCTGACCTGGCGATACTCCGTCGGACACGTGGATTAACAAAAAAAAAGTAAAAAACATAAATTCAATTTTCAGAGTTCATAAAATGAAAAATAAAAATAAAAATATTTATACAAAAATCTTCACCTACCTCCCTGTACCCCCACCATTGTCCGCCCCCTGCTCCTCCCCGGAAACCCCACAGCGGAGCTACCATCACCGACGGGCGCACTCTGACACCTCCTTCCGCTTCGACGACCTGCTCCTCTTCGACCCACCCGATCTTGACCTCTTTTCCCTCGACCTACCGACTCCAAATCCTCCATCCCCTCTCTCCGTTCAAAATCCGCCTTCCCCTCTCCGTTCAAATCCAGAGCCTTCTCTGTATCCTTTCGTAAAACTCCGGCCACCTCGATGGCAACAGCCATTCTCAAGCCACAGGACTGCCTCCGCGACCCTTTCACCAACCGCGGCAGCCTCCTCTCCACCCGCCGCGCACCAAAATCCGCCGCAACCCTACCCCCACCACCACCACCCCCAACTCCGCCAAGCACAGCCGCTAGGGTTGGCAATGGGTCTGGGCGGACACGGATAGCGGGTATCCAATACCCGCCCGAGAAGTTATTCGTAAAAACCGGAACCCGCCCGAAATAGGAGGATGGATAGTAAATCCATGACCATGCCCATGGCCGAACGGGTACGGGTATTACCCGAAAGACCATGGATACCCGCCCAGATAATTCCATAACAAAATTAAACAAATTACTCAATATGATAATTAACATAACACCAACTTTAACATTTAAACCAAGTTCAAAGTGCAGAATTTAGAAATTCTACAAACAATTCCAACATAAAAATCCAAAAAAAAAAACCCAGTGGATCCCAGAAAAATTCCAGAAAGTTTCCAGTTGATTCCAGCAACTTGCAGCAGCAAAATTCCTGCAGATAGATTTCCAGCAGCAAAATTCCAGGATCAAAATTCTAGAAAATCCAGCAGAACTCTGGTAAATCCCTGTTGATTCAAGCAGCTTGTAGCAACAAAATTCCAGCAGATAATCAGACTTCTTCCAGCAACAAAATTCTAGCAGCAAGATTCCAGAAAATTCATGCAAAACTCCAGTAAATCCCAGACGATTCCAGATGATCCCAGCAGCTTGCAGCAGCAAAATTCCAGCATACATGCAGATTTCCAGCAGATAGGTCCAGCAACAAAATAATGACAAAATCCCAACAGATTTCCAAAAATAACTCAGAAGACTCCAGCAACATACTCCAGCAGAATACGAACACATTACAGCACCAAAAAACAATCATTCATCAATCTTCAAGCAAGTTAAATGCATATTTGTCACTCCGCAATTGTTGATCTACATATACAAATATATATATATATATATGAGCATTTCCAGTTGTAACACACATATATATAATATACTATTAACATTATAGTAAATCACTAACCTTCCACGTCATCTTCATGATTTCCATCACTGAGCAATGCACAAAGCTCATCCAAAGATCCAGAATCAGCTCCTAGTTTGTACAAGTGAACAAAAGAATATTATATAAAGTAAAATGACTATAAACAAGTAAAAACTATGGAATAAGAAATATACCTATCGAAACTGAATCTTGAAGCCAGCTTTTACTACACATCAATGCCTCCATAGTTTTATAATGAAGTTTGCAACGATTGGGATCCAACAATCGACCACTAGTGCTAAAAGCCGATTCAGATGCAACAGAGGTAACAGGGACAGTAAGGATATCCCTTGCAATCTCTTGCAAAATAGGATACCTAGCCCCATTTAGCTTCCACCATAACAAAACATCGAGATCAGCACTCCAAGGTAAGACTTCCTCAGCCAAATAATTCTCTAATTCAGTTTGAGTAGGTGTTCCTTTTGACTTTTTTCTTTGCTGTACAAACAGCTGAAAGTCCAGATCCACAGAAGAAGAACCACCAAGTGACTGGCCACTTGAACCACTAGAAGCAACTCCGGACTTCTTATTCAGTTTAGTCTGATACTCCATGAACAAATCACTCAAAATATCCTTGATTTTGACCACATCCAAGACACACTCACCCATTCGAAACTTCGGAGCATAATACTCAACAATATGAATCTTATATCTCAGATCCAACACAACAGCCACTGCCAATATTTCATGAATATCTTCCCAATATTTGCAAAACTTAACCCACATCAATTCAGCCATCTTAGAAATCATAGCATGATCATCAACGAGCCACTCACAAAGTTTGAGCTTCAAATCACATATCTTTGGAAAGAACAGATTGGCAGTGGGATACTTGGTGCCAGAAAACAAATCAGATATCTCACTAAATATTTTCAACTTCTCACAAACAATTGATGCAAATGCCCAATGATCACTCGTAGGCAAACAATTATAGTGAGAGTCACGTTGTTTCAGTCTAATAAACACAGATTCGTAAGGTATTGCAGCAGCAAGCATATGATAGGTTGAATTCCAGCGAGTTGGACAATCCAAAATCAACTTGTTAACACAAGAAAATTCCAATTGTTTTGCTGCTCCTTCAAATGACTCTACTCTCTTAGGTGTGGCAGTCCAATAAGCTACACTATCACGAATTGTTTCAATGCCATCTCGAAGCACATCCAACCCATCTTTGACTATCAAGTTTAGAACATGTGCAGAACACCTCATATGTAATAAAGCACCCCCCTTAAGCAAATAAGGCATCACCAATTTATTCTTAACCTTCTCAATCATGGAATCATTGGTGCTACAGTTATCCAAGGTTATAGTTGATACCTTAGAATCGACATTCCAATCCATCATACAGTGCAAAACTTTAGCCAGCCTACCACTTGTATGCGGAGTTGGAACATAAGCAAACCTACATACAAGAAAATACAGCATTAAAATATGTTAAAATAGTGAATTCTTCTCAATAAATAAACAAGATAGAAGTCAAATTATATAATAGATATCATACCTAAGTATGTGATTTCGAAGAATCCAAGAATTGTCCACGTAATGAGCCGTAATAGCCATGTAACCCTTTTTCTGGTTGCTTGCTGTCCACATATCAGTCGTTATGGCAACCCTCCCCTTGTTACTACCCACCATTTTCATGAGTCTGCTCCTTTCACTCTCAAATATCTTAAGAATTTCAGCTTTGATAGTATTCCTAGTAGGAACACTAAACAAGGGCTGGAGGCTAGACAAAAATTTCCTGAAGTATAAATGGTCCACAATCGACAAAGAGTATTCATGCATAACAATTGCAACAGCAAGATCTTGCTTAGAAACAGCTTGATTGAACTGAGTGGCAACCATTTCTCTTTTTCCCTTAGAGACAAAGTTGATACCAAGTACCTTTTGCTTCCCATCTTGAATCCTTTTTTGCATACATGTCCTCAAATGATTTCTCAAGTGGGAAGTACCGTTATTGGACTCACCAGCAAGCAACTTCTTGCAATAGTTACATTTAGCCTTGATAAGTTCTCCCTTCTTTATCTTTGTGAAGTGTTTCCACACGTCACTCTTGAGATTTCCCAACTCAAGAACTTCATCATCACCAGCAGGTGTGGGTATTGGATTTTGTGGTTCTGCATTAGTAGCAGCAGCCTGCTGATTTTGTGCTTGTGCATTAGTAGCAGCAACCTCTTGAGCCATCTTTTACCTACAAGTGAACACAAACATGTAAACAATCACTACAGAACAACAACATATGGTAAAACAAAGCAACCGCATTTATTTAAAAATCTCAACAGAGCAGCAGCATAGGAAAAACAAAGCAGCAGTAGGGAATCTCATATCAATAGCACGAAGGGAAAAGGATCCAAGAGCAGTAACATATATTGATCTAAAATAAAAATTGCAGAAGCCAGTAATCAGCAACATCATATGAAAAACAACAAATAAAAATTACCTACTTCCTTGCGTCTTCTTCACAGGGCAATACAAAGCAATATTCCAGATTTCTAGCTGTCTTGTCCAACTCCAGCGTGGAAGAGAGTCGCCGACGCCGTTCAACCCTAAGGAAAGAAAAAAAACGACAGTTAGAAGAGGAAGGTTGAATCCAGAAATAGTTCGCCGTTGGGTAAAAGGGAAGGGAGGCCGGAGGGGAAGATTGTGTGGCGTCAGTTGCAGCTGAGGACAGAGGGTCGGGCGCATGGTCTCATTAATTAACCCAGAAATCGAACTCAAGAAACCGAGTTGAGGAAGAGATTAAAACACGAAGGGAAAAGGAAGAGGATAGAAACTAACCCCACTGTAACAGAGGTTCTGTCTTGCGAGCAGGGGGTGTGGCTGCTTGGTCTGTCGCTGCCTCGCTGGTTGCCAAAGTGACAAGAATGGATGAAACCGGCTCCTTGAGAAGAAAGAATTTAATGGAGAAGAGAGGGTTGAGGGAAGAGGAGGATTGGTCGTCATTGATTGGCGCTCTGGAGAAGACGAAGAGTCGATACGAGAGAGTCGAGAGATTGAGAATCGGAAAAGCACTCAGAGAGGGAAAGAAAGATTGAATGAATGCAGAATGAGGTCGCTGATTGGGGCTTGGGAGCTGGGGAAAAACGAAAATCAATTTTGAGGGATGAGGGGGCTGTTTGGGTGACGAAGGGTCGGGGATGGGTAGCTAAGCTTTGGTATACCGGGCGGGTTCGGAGCGGATATTATAGTATCCAAACCCTACCCGTGCCCGCCAATTACAAGTTCGGGTTTTACCCGTGCCCGACCCGAACCCAGTCAATGCGGTTTTTACCCGCGTTGACCGGTTCGGGTTCGGGTGGATATCCGATTTGACGGGTTTTCCTGCCAACCCTAACAGCCGCGGTCAATCCAATAACCGGATGAAGCGGCGCCCTAACTCCTCTCCCCCTCCCCGTCCCACAGCCGAACCCTCGCTCTCCCCATGTCGCCGCGACCAAGGTCCTCTCCATGGGCCATGTCAAGATCCTCAAGCGAGGAGAGGAGATCCAGAAGGACAAGGAGAACTCTTCAGTCGTCGGATCAGCCTTAACTGCAACAAGTAGCCATTATTCTATACCATCGTCGAGGAGCCGTCGAACCGTCGTCGTTGCTATCGCCAATCGACCGGTGCATCTCCCAGTCGCCCCCATCCCCCTCTTTTCTTCGTGTTCGTCGCAAGCGCAACGCCCTCTCTTCTCTAATCGCAGATCTGCGATTTTCCTAATTCTCGCCGGTTTCGAAGCTTTGCGAGATTAAAACAAAAATTGTGTGGAGTCTTAGATCTGGGTGAATTGGGAGTGGGAGGAGTCGAGGAGAGGATATGGTTTTGGGGGTTGGGTGGATTTTGGATATGGAACGCCGTCGGAGTGGGAGGAGAGGATATGGGTTTGGGGGTTGGGGTCGGTGGTGGAAGGCGGAGTACTGAGTGGTAGGAGATGAATTGGGTTTGGGAGTTGGGGTTGGTGGTGGAAGGAGAGGAGGAGAGGGGTTGGTCGCCGGAGATGCGAAGGGAAGGAGACGTTTTCATCTCCTTTTTTGTTTTATTAATTTTTGTTTTATTCTTTTTCCAAACATATTCTAGATTTATTAATTTTTGTTTTATTAAATAGTTAATTAATTTATTAACTTATTTATTTTTAAATTAAAATGACATGGCACTTACGTGGCAAGTGTGGTTGAGTTGTTGCTGACGTGTGCGATGATTTGGCTTTCTCATCAGCGTTTCGTCAAGCCATTTAACGGAGTTTCTAACACCGTTAAAGTTTATAACGGAATTAGCTAGATTTGTCACACCACCCTCCGTTTTTTGCGCTATTTCGTGTTTTCGAATAGATATGACTATATTTGTCACAAACGTGAAAATTATGGCCATATAAGTGGATTTTGCCTAATATAAATGAAAAGCACCTCGAGGATTTTCGTTCCAGAAAGCTACGTAAATATGAATGGCAACAAAACCCGAACCCACGGGTATCCACCCGACCCAACCCGGGTAAAATCCGTGTTGACACGTTTTGGGCCGCGTTCGGGTTGAAACCAGTTCACTATTCACCGGGTTGGGGTTTAGGTAAACCCGCCCCATGGGTACCCGCCCACACCCATATAATTAATTTTCTTCATATATTTAATATTCTAAACAACTAATCTTATTTATATTTGTGAAGACATGTCTAATTTTTTCATTCTGATTGTGTAGAATTAAGTTGATGTTATCGAGTGCAGAGCGAAGAAACTTAACTGACAAGGAGGATGAAACTTTCAATTAATCATGTTATTTATGGATAATTTGTGATTTGCTTCAATTTTTTGGAGTTTTCTAGATTGGTGTTAAACAATTTATATAGTTAATTTGTGATTTGTTTGAATTTTCTAGAATGGTATTTTATATATGGATAATTTGTATTGAGAGATTGATATTTGACTTTAATTTTGATAGGAACTTTTTATTGTAAATTTTTTACGATAAAACCCGTGGGTACCCATGTACTGTGGATACCCAACGTAGTTGGATTGAGTTTGAGTTTTCAAACCCAGTGGGTTTTACCCCATATTTTTTTCACAGACAAACCCAAACCCATGTTGGGTTTGAGTTTGGCAAAACCTGACCCGTTGTCATCCCTATACGTAAAGAGAAGGGGATTCTGGAACAGTGTCTTGATTTTCATGCCAGTATCCTTTTTCAGATATTCAATCTGCTATGCACAATCAATTTTCACCATATTGACGGCGATTCAAGATTTAGTGTTGCTACAGTCTCAACCCTTCACCATAGTGGAATACAAGTAGTTCGAAGCACACAAAAACAAGGAGGGACGGACAATTGTTTCATGTCGATTAGCTAGCTTATTGGCAACCTGTGCAAGAGACGTTCTCAGCAACCTTACATGTTGAACCATCTCAATCTCATATAGGGAAAGCAAACAAGAAACGGAACTACAGCAAGGTTCCAAAGAAATGAGTTCATATCACTCCTGCGGCAAAACCTTACACATGAGTCATATGAGTTATAGACAAGATTGAAGTGACAAATGATACACCTACTTAGTGAGCGTGAGCCGTGAAGCCAACCATTTGTTCAACTGGAGTTTCGATTTGTAGCTAATTATATTTGCTGAAGACGAAAACCCTGAGACTTTTGTAGCGAATCGAAAGACGATGCATAATGCAGCAACACCCGATTTGATTCGATCCACATCGACCGAGTTTTTGGCAGATTTGGTTTCATATGACAGCCTACGGGACCGCGATTTGTGTAACTCGTGAAGCCACCAATACAATCCAGGGAAAATATCCCGTATCATGGTAGACAAACTCAATAGTTGGTTCGGCAACAGAAGACCCTTCGAGGAAGTAAGTGATAGGTAAGTAAGGCACCTTGTCAGCATCCACAATTAAGGTCTTCAATCTTGTAAAGGGAGACGATTGCTGCTCTAGAAACTCAGAACAGAGAGCAGAAACCAATTTCAAAAGTAAGCCAAAATTCACATAAGCAACACTTCATCATGACAAATATAAAGCAAAACAGTACCTTGATGGTACCGTGCTCCAGCCTGAGAGTGGTTACATTACTTAAACCTTGGAACAAAGAGATCAAACGTTGTGTCACAGACTCCTCATTACCCTCCATGGAATCGGCTTCATCATAGATTCGAATAACAGCAAGATCGAGGGAAGAGATGGTTAACTTGGATAACTTTAGTTCCTTCAAAACAGAGTTAAAATCAAAGGATTTGAGTCTCGGTGCGAATATTTCCACGTTTGCGAACCAATCTACATTATCCATGTATAGGCTACGCAGTTGCGGTGCAAATATCTTGAGATCGCTTTCCTGCCAGTCCCAATGGCGGCAATCATTCAGGATCAACTTCTCCAGGCATGGACAGTTAGAAAAAGGATTGCATACCCCATTCTGATCAGAAGTTAGCGTGCACCATGTCAAATTTAAAGTCGTCAGCATGTGCAAACGAGAAGACCCAAATCCATTATCGATGCAGACACCAACTAGCTCTAGAGTTTCGAGGTCACAGTTCGAGATAGTGCCAAACAAATTCGAGAACCTGTAAGTGTCGTTGTAACCCCTAGAACCTAACAGCTTGAACTCTAGATGATGTGTCCCATGGGATAAGGCATACTTAGCGACCTTGACAATGAAACTAACATCTCGTTCTTCGTCGTCTTCCTCCTCATCATAATGATCATACAGAATGAAGCTCATTTCATGGACCTTAAAGGGATGATGGAGGGACAGAACATTATCCACAAACCTCTGGAAAATCGAATACTTTCGGAACCAAAGACTGTCCAGATTGAGGACAGGGACATGTTTCCAAGCAGGTCTCCACGATCGAGACAACACAGAGGTTTGAACGGCCCACCTGGTATCTAGAAATGAAAGGATGTGATGAATAATGAAGTCTGGAAGATGGCTTAACCTGTCAGGAGCAGCCGTAGTAGTATCATCTCCCTCGCGAATCCTTTTTACAGCTTTCCCTGACTCACAGCTACTATTGTTGTTGTTCATGACTTTCTACTGGAGGTTTCTACAGATTAACACAATTCTACCTACACCAAGAAATTGAAACGGTATCAGCAACCAAAATTGAACAAGAACAGAGACAGTAAACTGGAAATTCACCTGTTCTAGATGACCATTGAGGGAGTTCTGCCGCCGTACGTATGCCGCGCAAAAGGAGTTGCCTGCAATCAGCCGCAGAAGAAGAAACCAGAAAACTACGGACGTTTGATCCGATCAACGAACCCTACAGCCTCCATTTCATCCCGAATTTAGGGTTTCCAGGGAACTGCCGCTCAAACAAAAGGAAGATGCGGAGAGAAATAAGGAAAAAATTCCAAAATACATATGTTTTTAAAACAAATTCTCAAAATACACCTGTTATAAAAAACTTTTCCAAAATACACATGTTTGGCATCACCGTTGTTGTCAACCGCAGTGAATGCATTCACCGCGGCAGACCAAAGCGGTGAATGCTAGGGGTGTTCAAACGGTGTGGTTACGATGGTAACTGTTTTAACCAGTACTATTTGGATAATTTGGTTTGGTTAATTTGGATAATTGGTTTGGTTAAAGTTTTTACCTTGTTTGGTTTAGGTGGTTTAGTTTGGTTTCAGACACTCCTAACCAGTCAAACCAAATTAACCATATATCTAATATATACACATACTTATACTTTGAATAACCACTCAAGAGTTAAACGTTCATCCCTTTTAGACATAAAATATAAAGCTTGATATTTATCCATAATGTATATTTGTATATGTAGAGTGTAGACCACAACATATGAACGCTTAATTTAGATAAATCTCATACATTATGTTGGATGAAAACTTGAAAGCAAGGTCCTTTTCAGCCTATGAAAATTGCTAAAATACTAAGTCAATTCAAACAAACACAAAAATTCATTAACCAATACCATTATGATAAATTTTTGTTAGGTGAATACTTCTATACTAACCGTAAGATAATTGTCTTAGTTGCATGCATTTATATTAAGGGTCAACTATAACTATGTGATGATTGTTATGTTTTATTCATTATATAAATTGTGATTTGATAAATTAACCGAAATTTTCTCACTTAATGATAATGTGATTTTATATTGGTTAATCTGGTTAACCAATTAACCAAACCGATTAAACTTTAAAGGTTAATTTGGTTGTTGTATACTTGTATTAGTTTGGACGGTTTGGTTATGATATTGTATTCCATGATTAATGAAATTTAGCCTTATTTAGTTTGGTTATAACCATTGTAACCATTTGAACACCCCTAGTAAATGCATCGCCGCGGTTGACGGCCGCGGTGAATGCCTGACGTAACACTGAAACTTTAAACAAACGTAACTTTGCGCTCGGTTATTCGATTGTAGCGAATTTTTTTATTCCGCATACTTTTCAAGATCTTTCAATATGAAAAAAAAAGACTTCATCGCCAAAAAAATCATTTGCTACCCCGAACGAGAAATTTTTCGATTTTAACAAACTTTGGAAGATCATAACTTTGTGCACCACAATCCGAATGTCATGAAACTTTTTTTTGATTTTGCATAACTTTGAAGTACTACAACTTTGATTATAACCATAATTTTGGAAAGTATGTGGATTTGTGAACAGTAAAGGCAAAGTTATTCCCAAAATCCTGTATACCCAAAAATACTTCTTTTTAAAAAAATTATTTCCTAGTCAAAGTTGTAGTTCTTAAAAAGTTATGCGCAATCCGAAAAAACTTTGCGACGTTCGGATTGAGGAGCTAAAAGTTATGTCTTTCCAAAGTTTAGCAAAATCAAAAAATTGTTCGTTCGTGGTAACAAACGACATTTTTTTTAGATGAAGTCTTTTTGCATATTGAAAGATCTTGAAAAGTTATATGGAATCAAAAAAAATTTCGCTACAGTCGGATAACCGAGCGCAAAGTTACGTTTGTTTGAAGTTTCAGTGTTAAGTCGGGCATTCACCACGGCCGTCAACCGCGGTGATGCATTCACCGCTTTGGTCTGCCGCGGTGAATGCATTCACTGCGGTTGACAACAGCGATGATGCTCAAACATGTGTATTTTGGAAATTTTTTTATAACTTGTGTATTATGATAATTTTTAATAAAAATATGTGTATTTTTGGAATTCGTCCAGAAGCTTACAAAATTCGGGAGGGGAGAAAATAGGCAAACTTGCCTTGCAATTTTAATTATCATTTTATTAACCTTTGGGCCGTGAATAGGCCCAGATGCTCAAGAAATTGCAGCCCAACCTAAATTAGCTGACCCAGTAAACCAAAACTCGTACGTTTCAATATTGGAGGCGGCTGGGTAGTGGCGAGCGTCTCACTCACTTGAGGAATGGGACTGACGAAGCAGTTTTGCAGTTAGCTAGATAGCCTCCATCAAAATCTTTTTTTTTTTACGGTTTTTTTTTTTTGGACGGGTGCCTCCATCAAAATCTTAAACAGAGATTATGGAGTAAATTGCAAGTTTGGTCAATGAAATTACATTAAAAGTTCATGTTAATCACTAAAATTAATTTATTTTATTCGTGGTCACTAAAATTATTTCAGCATTTTAAGTTTGGCCACTCTCCGTTAGTCTCCGTTAATTATCGCTGATGTGGCGGTCAACTCTCATCGTTGACTGTTAAATGTGTGACGTGGCCATTACAAAAAAATAATATAATAATAAATTTTAATTATTTAAAATTTCCAGCTCAGTTTTACATTCATTAAAAAGTATAAAATAAAATAAAATTAATTTTTTTTTCTTCTGCACGTAATCCGATTTCTTCTTCGGAATTTCTCCGGCTTCGGATGTCTCTTACGGGGAACTTTCGTCGACGTTCTGGGTGGGGAATAGAACCATGTTGCGATGCAAAAGGAGCCACGCGAGAAGTGCAGAACCAGAATCGAAAAACCCCGTCTTAGATGCGCCAAGATGGAGAAACGGGAGGAAGAAGCAATTCCAAAAAAATTAACACCAACCAGAGCTGAGCTAGCTATCAAACCTGCGGGTCACTCTGTCGGTGGTTACTGTCAAGAGGAAAGACAGCTCGCCGGAGAGATTCCATCAACGAGAGGGGATTGGAATGGTGGCACTTTTGTGCTGGTGATTCGGGCCTATTTACACATGTTTTGCCCCTGTTTGACTTAGATGTTTGTGCCAAATTCGGTAATTAAAGGTTGGTTTTACGCGAGGTTCTTCGTGTTTGAGTGCTTTTCAGGATTTAACAGGTGGAACCAACCTCGGAGTCGAAAGATTGGCGAAAAGGATTGAAAACCGGGAGAAGAGGTGAAAAAGAGCCAGTTCACGGCTAATTGAAGGAGTTGGTCATGCAAGACCGTGAAGAAGTGGAGTTGATCGTGAATCGCGAGGCATCCAGAGCCAATTTGAAGGTTACTGACGCAAGGTGAGTTCACGGTCACTAAGACCGTGAACACAAGCAGTTGCCCGTGAACAGACGTGAGCGATGCGGAGCGTTTTGGCGCATGCCTTGAGTTCACGGAAGCCTTTGATGGTTCTCGACCGTGAACTACGGTCGTGATCTCAGCTCTTCTCGGGGTTAAAAGCTGAGCTGCAAGGAGGAGAGAGGGAGAGCCAACTTTTGTGAGAAAACACCTTCTTCAGCATTCTAGTGAGAGAAACAGAATCAAAGGGAAGAAGAAGGTTCGGGTTTGGCTTCAAGGCAGATTTTGGGAAGATTTCCCCAAGGAGATCTTAGCTCAAGGGTCAAGAAGAGAGGAGGCATCCTCAAAAGATAGTTTCCACCTTTTTTCCTTTTGTTCTTCCCACTTCTTCCATGGAGTAAACCTCCTTTCACTTGGGGGTAGTAAAACCCTAACTCTACCATGTAGTTTTTTCTTGTATGTGGTTTGGATGATTGATATTGGGTATTGTTCAATCTCATGTTTGAGGCATTATTCACCATGATTGTGCATGCTTGTGCTTAGCAACTTAGGGTTGTGCATATTTTGTGCTTAGCATCCTAGGGATTGTGCATAATTGTGCTTAGCACCCCTAAGTTTGTGCATTTAGGTGCTAGTACTCTAATTTGCCACCTTACCCTAGTTTAGAGAGGAAAATCCCCCTTTCATGGGAGACTCAAACGAGTTGGTTTTCCTTCCGCTTTCTAAGCCACCTAAACTAGGTTGAGTTAGGGCAACCCTCAATATTGAATTGAACAAGTCGATTAATCGTGGTTAAACCATCCGACCTTAGAGTTGAGTGAGGGAGTAAGTCGATTACCGATTGTATGAACCGAGAGGGTCGAGTGACACGACCTTTCATCCTCACCTCGGTTTAGCAATTGAGACTGTGGTCTCCGACCACATACACTTTCCCAAAACTCTTTTGTGGGAAAGTCACTCGGGTTTTGCTTCCCCCTAACCGCTACCATGCTATGTGGATTGGAACGATTGCCTTGGTAGTTGTCTGCCGGGTAGTTGGACTGAGAGGGCTTGGTCAGCTTAAGAGATTCCAAGCTACTGTCGGATCTTCCGCAGCTTAATCAACAGTTAATCAACCCAGGGTAATTACAACCTCGACCTAACTAAGGGGCTAGGGGGACTCATTCCCGAGTGACTCTTCCCATGCTAAAGAACTTTGAACCATTTCCTGCTTTATTACTGCTTTTAGTTAAAATCACAATCACTCGACTTAGTTTGCTAGATAATAGATATTCACGGAGTAGGCAATAGATCTAGGCCCCGGGTTGACAAATAGAGCTTGCCACTTACTGCATTCCCAGACTGCGATTGCACTTGGTTGCAGTTTGGTGTTGTGTTTTAGCTTGTCAAGTTTTTGGCACCGTTGCCGGGGACCTCTAGGTTATTGTGGAAACGTGAAAGTCTGTTACTTTAGCATTTACTTTTATGCATCCTCTCTTTTCCACCCTTGCTTTTCACTTGGGTATTTTTTTTTGGTGGTGTAGATCTGATACATGGATTCTCAAGGCTTCTCCAACCATTGGGGGTATCCACCACCACCCGAGTGGTATTACCACGAGACTTCCTGGAGCAACCAAAGAGGAGAAGACTATGGAGTCTGGTGTCAGTACCATCCCCCCTGCTACGAAGAACAATAAGAACCTTGGGTATTTCAAGAACAATCTCATTATCAAGAAGAACTCCTCCCACAACTAGAAGGGCCATCAGATCTTGATTTAGCCACAGCCCTCACAGGAAATCCGGCAGAGCCATGCTACACTCCACAACCAGATCCAAACTATCACTTGAGGCTTCTCGTCGAGCAGATTGCTCGAGTACCTGAGAGATCCTTTTCCGAGATGGATCCTCAT